AGAGAAAGGAAGGCCTTGGTACACCAATGCTGGGCCGCTGCAGTAGGTCTGGGGCCACTGTTTTTTTTGGCAGAGAGAGAAAAACTGAAGCAGGTTCAGAGGAAAGTGAATAGTATGGGAAGGGCAGCTCGATCTAACATCTCAAAGGTCCTGCAAGTGGGATGTGACATTCAGAATGGCTGGTCCTGAAGAGTCCTTGGGTCAATGGGTGAAAGTATTAAGGAAATGAATTGTGACTCAGTATTAACTAGATAGTTGGACTACATGATGTATCAGGTTACTTCTAACTCTAAAATTCTATAATTTGGGGCATGTTTTCCGAAATCACTTACCTGTTTACCTCACATGCAGATTTTTAAAGGGAAGTACTATTCCTGACGAAAGTTGTTGTGTATGGTTGAGTGAGAAGTGACTCATAGCTGACCCTCCATCAGATTTTCAGGGGCAGTAAAATCGCTCATCTTTCTCCCACAAAACAACTGGTGGGTTTGAACCTTATGCCTTCAGATTGGCAATGCAACTCCTTTCCACTGAGCCACTGGAGGTCTCTAAAGAAAAGACTGCTTTTATTTGTTGTAAAGGACTTCTGGCCTGAAGCTCTGGGACATCTTTCACTGGAAAGGCAATCCATCCAAGAAAGGAAAACCACTAGGAATTATCAGGATGATGGGTCAGGTTGATCATCTGTCCCCGAGCTGGCTAAGGTCAAACACTGGGATGATATTGGAATGCAATGGAATTTTCTCAATTCATTGGGAGAAATCTTTCATAAAAGCCAAAACTCCAAATAAACAAGCTGTCACTCTACGGGTTTGGATACTTTCCTTACATCTACGTTTATACCTAAACAAATATTGCAAAGAATATGTTAAGGACCTGTTGATTTTATTTCCACCATGCTCTTTACAGCTGATCTCTAAATTTCACAAACTTTAAACTGAAGGTTAAAACCAAAAACCAGATCCACTCTTGTGGATTTTGACCCCACAGTGAAGAGCAAAACTGCCCCATGGGCTTTCCAAATTTGTGATCTTTAAGCAGGCAGAGTGCTCCTTCATTTCAAGGAGAGTGAGCTGACAGCATGGGGTAACCCAGAGGCAAGGCTGGGAAGGAAATGGAGCTCTTGATTCCAGACCCAGATGCCTTTCTTTCTGCAGTGTGTTCATCCATTTATCAAGGTAATGTTAGGTGCTGTCGAATTGACTACGACTCATAGTGATTCTATAAACAACGTCTCTAAACCTTGCCATAACCTGAGCCAACTTCACCATCTCTGACACACCTGACCCCTTTGCCAGAGTCACAGAGTCAATCCATAGCATCCAGGGTCTTCCTTTTCTGGGCTGACCCTCCACTCTTCCAAGCGTGATGTCCTTTTGCAAAGACTGGCCCCACTAGTATCTTTTAATCACAGCTCAGTGCATGACCCTGTACAAAGTGTGGTAGTAGTGTTCTTAAGTGCCATCGAGTTGATTTAGATCTACAGAGACCCCACATGAGAAGAGAGCTTCTCCATAAAATCTTCTAGATCATTATCTAGAAGATAAGAGCAAATCACCAAGTCTTTTTATTTTTTTTCTTGAAGAGTCTCTACGTGGGTTTAAACCTCCAACCTTTCAGTCGCAGCTGAATATGTAATCATTGTGCCTTCAGGACTCATGGGATTCTTAGACTGATCTTTATCCTGAAGGTGCCTAAGGACCAGCTGAGAGGAGAAATTCCCATTCAAAATTGTCTACCCTGCACTCATCAGGCTGCCTTCCTGGCCCCACATCAAATAACAATCCATCCTCTTTAAGACTCTTCTCTGAAAAGAACACTTTTACTATTTGTTAAACTTATTTTATGAATTCAATTCTTATAGAGAGTTAAAAAATCACCTGGGCATGGAAAAATATTCAGTATGGTTATGTTTGAGCTATTCTGTATTTTCCCCTTGCCTAGCTTTTATTTTATGAATTATCTTAAGAATACTTGTATTTCATATTGTCTTTCACATCCTGATATACTTGGGGTGTCATAAAGGACAAAGAGCATGTATCAAGAGACATGCCACCAGCCAGCTAGGCAACATTGGACAAATCTCCTAGCTGTTCTAAGCCCCCAAGATTCATCTTAAACAATGGATAAAACTATTTGTTCTGCCTACCTTACAAGTTTGTTGTAAAGATCAAGCAAAATCAAGTATGTGAGAGTGTCTTGAAAAGTACAAAGCAACATACAAATGTAAAGTATTAAACTCTCTGCCCTTTTCCCTTGCTTCTTGGAAGTCAGCACTAGTGTTTGGCTTTGCCTAGGGGTGAAAAGCACTTATAAAGGTGAGTGAGGTCAAGCTCCTCCTAAGACAACGGGAGCAAGTGGTTCTCAGTACTTTTTCTTTGAAAAGAAGGATGTGTTCCTGCACTTGGAGACAGTAATTGAGGCTGTTTACTATATGGCATCTCCTCTGCTTGGGTTAATTTTGCCAAAATACCTGCTAATTCCAATTCAGCTCAGTTCAGGAGTATTAAAGACAGCCCTGTTGAAGTTAGATATCAGGCTGTAACCAAGGAACCTGAGGTGGACCCGGTGGTCCATCTTCCTGACATGTAAGTAGCTTTGTTCCCACCTTCTAGGATTGCTGCAAAGATTAAATGAGCTGCCATTTAACCAAACCTGAGAGGAAGAGGAGGAGGAGG